GGCGGTGCTGCACCCCCTTGTGGCCACTGCAGAAACGTGTAAAAGCACAGAAAAGCAGAGGAGGGAATAAAAACCAATCGCGATTCTAATAGCTAGAGAGAAGCATTTTGGGAGAGAGCTTCCCATTGATTGAGTTTCTTTTTAATAATAGTAGGCATTCTCTGGAAAATAAACAAATATAAGGATCCTCTTAATCCCACCACTAGAGAAAACCACAGCTCTGTTTGGTTAAGGATTGTTAGAATGTTGTCCTTCTATGTGCATATGTGTGCGTGGCACATATAATTTATTTCAATAGAAATGAGAAAATACTGTTTTATAACTTCTTTAAAAATATGATATATGAAATCCCACCTTTTTGACATAATCGTCTAATGGTTGCCTTGGTTGTGGGCTTGTAGAGTTCTGGAGATTTAAAATCCTCCTTTATTCTAATAGAAAAAAATTATTTATAACTAACAATGATTGTGACTCTAGATATCTTAAGCTGATTGGGGGTAACTGTATCCATAAATAGTAATAACAAACAACAGTAGCAGACACTTATAAATGCTTACTGTGTGTCACCCACTGTCCTAACAGCTTACTTAACTTTTCAACTCTTATAACCGTTTTATGAAGATTAATCCTATGTAATGGGTGAGAAAAGACTGGCACAGAGAGGTTAAATAACTTGCCTGAGGTTACACAGCAAGTGAATGGCAGAGCCAGTTTTGAACACAGGCAAGTTGGCTCTAGAATCTGTGCTCTTCGCAATAATATATGGCCCTTTATATGATCTAATAAATATATATATATTAGATTTAGGACTATAGAGCTTTATGACAAAAGGCACTATGAAATATTAGAATAGTTTTCTATGAAATTCTCAAAATATTAGGAATCAATAAGAATCCTTTAAGTGAATTCCTGACCACAGGCAGAAAGAGAGAATGAACCACCCTTTGAAATCTCTACAAACTATACTTTTTCGTGCCCTATAATGTATGGCTCCAGTATACTAAATGAAGCAAGTTTATTCTTTGTTACTGATCAAGATAGTTGGTTGCAAGGGATGGTTGAGCAGCTGGAGTAGAAATGTACCAACATAAATTTTTATGGGCTAATATTTACCCCACAGCATTATAACAAGTTCAGGCAATTGTTCATTGATGAAGTACATGCCAGGACTTCTGAACAAATAAATGTTCAGTTTTGACTATATGAAATATCTTTGTTTCATGACTTATATCCTGTAGCCTCAGAAACAGGTCCCCAAGCGGGCTTGGGAACTGAGCTTCAGCCCTTGACTAGGCTTACTCCCAGCGCTGTTGACTCCCACTGTTCGTCAAAATTGAACAAATAACAAGTGGTTGTGGGCATTGTTCGAGCTATTGGCCATCTGCGAGTGACTGGGTTCAAATATTTGAAGCATTTCCTTGCTTTTGTTCCCTGAAACATCACACAGATCATAATTCAGCACATATTTTGAGAAAAATTATCTTTTCTATAGAGAAGGTCAGAAGCAAAATGTATCTGAAAGCTTCCTGGTCATATAAAGGTGAGAGAAGATTCTCACTTAGCTCCACTTTTTTCATTCTATATGGATGCATAAATTATTGATCAATAAAATATTTCCCTTCTATTTTTGCTATATCACTTTCCTACCCTGAAGGTGAATGATACCTCCAACAGGTGCAGAAAACACACCTGAAAATGAAAACAAAATGTAATATTATTTTCTAATTCCTTCTATCTAGTCTCAAGTAATAATTTTAGTACTTGATCAATAATATTAACTTGTATAAGCTACTAGGGTGCTACTTAAGAGCAACAGTTAAAGTATTTCCTTTGAAAACATCCTAATTCTATGGTCCTCAAGTAGATAGATGAAGTTTCTAGAAATACTTCTGCAAACTCAACAGGACATAAAGAAGCCAGACTTCTGCCATGATTTGAACTTTTTTATAAGGGCAAAGGAGCAGGAAAATACTAGAAAATTAAGTACTGACCCAAGCTGACTTCATTTTTTTGTGCTGAGATTGATTTCTAAAATTGTAAATTTCTAAATTTCATATTTAATTGTGCCATTTTATTTGAAATATAAAATGGAAATCTGTTCAGGACTGAACATGTATATGGTTGTTGTTTTTATTGTTATTGTTATGGTTTGCTGTATAATCTCAATCATTCAGTTTCCAGGCTTGGGAAAAAGAATTTTTGGAGAAGAATCCAATGAGTTCACTAATGATTTGGGTAAGTGTATGAATCTTAATGTATTTTTGTAACTTAATTATCACATACTATTCTAATTTCAACTTGCATTATAAAGTAAATGGATGTTTGGAAGCCTTTCATGTAAACGACAATATATTTGAATGTTAAGCTTCATTCTCTACCTCAGAACATGAGGCCATTTAACTTAGGGAAATGTGGTATCTTGGAGTTATTTAGCAAATCCACATGTATTATTATAGACATAAATCTGTAACATTTAAATAATGTATGACTTAACCATTCAGAAAGTTGCATGGTCCTTTGGGAATCTAATGGAGGTTACAGGTGCCCCAGAAAGATGTACTTCTACACAACTGTGCAGATAATTTCAGGTCCAAGGTATAAACCCATCTGTGGACCTGCTGGGGAGTCCATGGACCTTGGCTGAGAATGTAGAGGATGCCCTGCCCCTAAATACTGTGTGATCTTGAACAAATCACCTCAGTTCTCTCTGGTCTCAGAAGCTCTGTAAAGGGAGTTGGACTAATTTAAAATGTTCCTTTGAATACCAAGTTTTAAGTCTTACTTAATTAGTTTCCTGTGTGCCAGATTCTCCTTTGATGGGACTCCATGTTCCCTGTGGCATAGAGAAAAATATCAAAATCTCCATCCGATTCTTTTCAGAGAAATAAATTATTTTTAGCTTGAGCTTTTTGTTTGCTCAAGGTAGAAAATTAAAATAGTAATCTTGTGACAAAAAGTTAAACATCTAGAGGCACATTTACTAAGGAAAAAACTAATTTCTGGATTAACTCTGGAAAAATTTTTTGTCTCTACGGGCTATGTGTTAAGATGCAGTTAGTTCTGTGACAGGTCATGGAAGGCTGTAGGACAAAGTTTGGGTTTTCCTCCTGTGATGAGAATTCACTGGAGAATTTTAAGCAAAGGAGTGATGTGACTTGTCCCTTTGAATGATCCCAAGACTCTACTGAGCCCAGAGTAGATGCTTAATAAGTGGCAGTGATTAATATTATTATTCCTCAACTTAATAGCCTAATTTACTTTGAATTTAACTGAAGTGAATGTTTCTTGCTGATTCACAGTCATCATTGTAATAGATTTCTACTACGCTTCCCAAACTTTAATGATTGTATGAATCACCTGGGGATTTTGTAGGTCTGGGATGGGGCCTGAAGTTCTGAATTTCTTTTTTATTTTTAAAATAACTTTATATTTTATTTTTCAATTACAGTTTACATTCAATATTATTTTTTATTAGTTTCAGGTGTACAGCATAGTGGTTAGACAATCAGATATTTCACAAAGTGTTTCCCCTGATATTTTCAGTACCCACCTGGAACCATACATGGTTATCTCAATATTAACTGTATTCCCTACTCTGTGCTTTACATCCCGTGACTATTTCAAAACTACCAATTATTATGAAGGTGTGAATTTCTAACAAGCCCCCAGGTGGTGCAGATGCTGCTGGTCCTCGGAATGGCTCAGGCAGCTAGGAGTACTTGTCTATATACCGAAAAGGCCGCAAACTGCCGTGTTTTCTTAATATTTAAAAGTTTATGTTCTTCATTGCTGTCACTTTTTGTTGTTAATTTGCCAGCCTCTTTCCTCACTTTTGTTGGGAGCTCGGACCACATTTATGAGGGTCTCGGAAGCCTGTGTAACGTGATGGCGAAGCACCTGACGTGGCAAACTGTGGTTTCATCTAGAGAAACAGCTTTGCTTACACCCTGGTTTCAGGTGTTTCACAGAGGAGAGCTAGTCTATGTATGACATTTAGAGTCACATAGTTTTACGACATTTAAAGATTGGTACACTCCATCTTAGTACTGAACTGAGAGTAAACAACTTTTCATTAAAAGCAGCAGCATAGAAGAGGGAGAGGCACTTTGGAGTATTGACAAAAACACCATTCTTTTCAACGACATATTCAAACACAACAGGGTCACCTGTGTATATTAAAAGTCAAAAGGCAAAAAACATACATAAAGTATTGATTATCAAAGGACTCAGGATTCAGGGGTTCTTAACTGGTCCATGGGGCCCCTTCAACTGGATACAGAATTGTGTGCATGTGCCCATGTGGGCATTTTTCTGGGGAGAAGGTGTAATTCCTGGATTCCCATCCCTCGCTGTTCATATTAAGTACATGAGTGACCACCAGGATCTGTGACTTTATGACTGCCCCCCCCCCATGTGATTGTGGCCGCCAGCCGGGTCAGGAACCACTGATACAGATGTTGCTCTCACCGCATCTAGGTGCACAGCTTTTGCTCTTCCCCACCCGTCTGTTGTCCTTTCTCCCCTGACACTCTTGAAATGTAATGACTTTTAGTTTGTCTTTACTCTAGGGGAAAAGATTATCTTGAGACTGTGTTCAACAGAGGAAGAAACAGTGGAGCTTCTTAGCAAAGTCCTTAATGGTAACAAGTTGGCCTCCGAAGCATTAGCCAAGGTCGTTCATCAGGATGTTACCTTTACTGACCCGACTTTGGATTCAGTAGAGATCACTATTCCACAGGACACTTTGGGAATCTGGGTGGATCCTATAGGTAAGTAGAGGATAGTGTGTTTGCTTTTATTCATTTGTTCTTATTAGTAATCCTTTTCTTTGGGGTATATTGAGTATAGTTTAATTCTCCTGGAAGTTTAAAAATTTTTTAAGTTTTAAAATGATTAATGAAGAATTGTGGGTGTGTTATGACGTGTTAACTCACTCAATGTTGGCAGACAGCTGCTGGCATGTACATCTCTTCAGAAGAAACCTCGCTCCTCAGCTGCTTTTTCACAGGAGCCCCATTAATTTTTTCCTTTTGTGCCACTATAATTGTCTCTTCCCTCCTAATTTGAGTGACCAAAAAAAGGGGGGGAATTTCACCTTGGACAGATTTTCTGGGCTTTTCCATCCCATTGGACTTGTCCTCTGACTAGTAAGCACTCTAAAAAACTCCCGCTAGTTGTCCTGAGTTACTAGCTTTTACACGCTTTTGACGTGAACATTTGAGTGCTTATCATATGCAAGGTGCTGTGCTAGATGCCACTGGAACCAGACGTGTCCTCTCCCTTCAAGTTGCCATATAATCAGGAAAATGAAAAACAAGTAGCTTGAAAGCAAAGTATAAGAGGTCCAACAACTAGTCAGTACAAGTGACACCCAAAGGTGAAACTGATGGTTACTTAGTCCGTTTAGGCTGCTGTAACAAACAGCATAGATTGGGTTGCTTATAAACCACAGAAATGTATTTCTCACAGTTTTGGAAGCTGGAAGTGAAGTCAAGGTGCCGATATGGTTGGGGAGGGCTGTCTTCCTGGTTCATAACCAGCACCATGGCCTCATAAAGTAGAAGGGACTAAGGATCTCTCGAAGCCTCTTTAATAGACACTAATCCCATTCATGACAGTTCCACCCTCATGACTTCAACACTACCAAAGTCCCCACTTACTAATACCATCCCTTTTGGGGGTTAGAACTTGGGGGAGACACAAACATTCAGACCATAGCAATTATTAAGTTAGAAGAAAGAAATGGTATAGGACAGAGTTTAGAGATGTATTCGTCATTATTTTCTAATGATTATTACCTGAATCCTAACAAATTTGCTGCATTTTCAGATTCAACGTATCAGTACATAAAAGGTTCAGCTGACGTTAAATCCAACCACGGAATCTTCCCCAGTGGACTTCAGTGTGTCACCATTTTAATTGGTGTCTATGATGTACAGACAGGGGTGCCCCTGATGGGAGTCATCAACCAGCCTTTCGTATCACAAGACCTAAACACCCTCAGGTAAAAGATAAACACTTCTGGTACATTATGGTTTTTAGAATTTACAACCTTAGCTTTGCTTATGGTCGAGATGATCACTCCATGTGGCATTCCTATGACTCCATATATTGGGATGTTCCCACTAAAAGTCTGCTTGTTTGAATTAATGTTCTTTAATTTGGCCTAATTTTACTGGCATAATTGTGTCTGGGCCTGGGTCCATGCTGGTAGAAACTTTGAAAAGAAATGGTATCTTGGAGAAATCACTGTTTAGCATTTGGAATATAGCCACCCTGTTCCCCATAGCTAGAATCCATTCAGGACCAGATTAATAGAACAGCGGTAACACTGTCCCTAGCACACTTGGAGTAAGATAGATGCTATCACTATATAGCCAGTTGAACTTTTATATAATTGTAGAAGAAATTCGAAGCAAAATGTGAAAATTATCCAATGAAAAGAATAGCTGTGGCCAGGATTAGAACCTGACCCTGGGGTGCTGTCCCTGTAAATGTGTCAGCGCCCTCCCTCTTTGCCCTCCCACGGACTCCTGTGCGGAGCATGGAGGGAGCCAGTGGCCTGTGCTTTGGGATTGACTCCAGGGCATGGAAGAGTCCAAGGGGAAGCAAGCAGCTTTCCTCCTGTGGTTTCAGGTTTTTAATTGAAGTAGGTCATATTGTTTTATGTGTATAGGACTATGTATTTTTTTTTATTGAACTTTGAGTTGCTTCAGGCAACTAAGAATTGTTTGCTCTTTAATAGTCTTGAACTACACCTCTGAGATTATGACATTTTTCCTTTAACCGCGCCTTCTTCCAAACCAAAAATGTGTTTGTTATCTTGAAAGGTCATTAAGAAATGTAAAAGAGGTGGCGCTGGATGCAGACCTAATCATGGCATAGAAATGTTGACAGAGTCGTTAGTGGCACAGATTGTGGAGTGATGCTTAGCTTCTTACACTCACATTCTCTAAGGCTCAGTGTCCTCTTCTGTCAATAGAGTAAGTCACCCAACATAGACAGTAAATTAAACATTGAGAAATGATAGGTACTATTATTATTTTTGTTGCCCCCCCAAAAAATGAGTCCATCTTTCTTGGTGTTAAAGTTGAAGTGGAGCTTGTGGATAAGACAATGGAAAGGATTTTCCAGGTGAAGAAAAACTTACAAGGATCGTAAATGACTTGCAGGTTGAAAAGACAGGTTATCTATCTGTTCATCTTTTCCCCTATTAAACTTGAAATGCCAAAGTGGCCATAAAAGTTTGCCGTGTTCCTAGAGCCCAGAAGTCCCACAAATGTTTTAGCCTTGCCCTAGACTGAGGTGACGATGCCAAAAACCTGAAAGTATTCCTAATCTGCAGCAACGCAGGCAGCTGCAAGCCAAGCAGTAACTTCTAGAAATGAGTTAGCTACTTGATATCTCTTTCTAGGCTTAAGGGCATTGAGACTCATTACACTAAATATTTTTTTCACATCATGAAGCTGGAAAGCAACACTAAAAAACAAGTGTGATAACCTACCTCCACAAACTGAAAGTTCTCTTCTGCAGGTGGAAAGGCCAGTGCTACTGGGGCCTGTCTTACATGGGCACCAACATCCATTCGCTCCAGCCCCCCGTCTCTAAAAGAAACGGCAGCGAACCTCGGAGCCCACGGACTGAAAACCCTGGCTCCGGGGCCGACTTCTCTCACCACTTTTCAGCTGTCATCAGCACAAGCGAAAAGGAGCCCATCAAAGCCGCACTGTCTCGAGTCTGCGGAGATCGCATATTCCGGGCCGCCGGGGCTGGCTACAAGAGCCTGTGTGTCATCCAGGGCCTTGTTGATGTTTACATCTTTTCAGAAGACACCACGTTCAAGTGGGACTCCTGTGCCGCTCATGCCATCCTCAGGGCCATGGGTGGGGGAATGGTGGACTTCAAAGCATGCTTGGATCGAAACCCGGCAACGGGGCTCGACTGGCCACAGCTGGTGTACCATGTGGAAAACAAAGGCACCAGCGGCGTGGATCGCTGGGCCAACAAGGGCGGGCTGATCGCCTACCGGTCCAGCGAGCAGCTGGAGACGTTCCTGAGCCGCCTCACCCAGAGCCTGGCGCCTGTGGACGCACACACGTAGACCAGCCTTTTCCTCGGCCCACTTACACACCAGACTGTGACGCTGTCTCCCACGTCTGTCGTGTGAAGATAGCTTTGTCCCATGGGTGGTCAGCGTTCATCTCCCTCGTCTGAGGAGTATTTTTCCATTACGTGTTCGTAATAATGTTAACTTCAGTAAATAAACGACACTCATGCAGCAATCGATGTGTGAAATTCTCACAGTGAATATTGTGCTATTAGTGTTGCCTGAAGCATTTCAGTAATGTACTGAAGAGGAGGAAAACCTGCCCAGTTAGTAAGCTCCTCTAAACGCCTAAGTGATAAGTGGGATGTTTCGGAAATAGTGGGGAGAGCACAAGAGCGGGTTGTGCTTGCATTTTGTTTCTGGCTTCAAGGGAAAAAGTCTGCAGCTTTAGCCTTTGGCAGAACATTTAGAACCGTGAATTTGACACCTGATTTAGCCAAGTTCATGTACTTTCAACAGTATTCTTGCGTTATAAGAATTAAAGCCTGGAGCCTCCGACCCCGCCCCCCATGCGCGTGCACACACACACACACACACACACACTCACTCTCACACCCTCTTTTACACGCACATACTCTCTCTAATACTCATACATACGCACATACCCTCCCTCTCTCTACTTCTCTCTCACTAATTCTCTCCATTCACACTCCATTTTGGTAGGTAAGGTGGAATGGGACAGAGTACAGGTTTCTGCATGTGTACTACACCTTAGAAACCAGAGGTGGTCACAGGACTGGGGCCGCTCCTAGAGCTCTTCAGTGCCCCGAGGAACCATGTCATCCTCTCCCCACCCCTCACCCACACACGTATCTGGCACCAGAGCACAGTCCTGGAGAAAGTGGGAGGACAGCCTTGATTCATCCTGCACATACACGATGACCCACATCAGCCCTCTGCTCAGCTCTGGACAACACCACCTCCCCCAGTGACAGGAGGTATTTCCTTAACTAAAAATTAGACATGGATCTTGGGGGGAAAACACACACACACACGTACATTTCAATATATAGGGCCCTTGCTCTACTAGCATCCCTCCCTGAATGTCCTAGATCGCTTGCCGTTCTCTTCCGCAGCCCTGGCAGGTGGCGCTGCTGCCATCTAGAGGCATCAGATCTCAGCCCTGAGTTCTTTCACCCTGCGCCCTCTGGGGGTCAGAGTTTGTTTCTGCAGCATTTTTTATTTTATTTTTTACAATTACAAACGAATAAAATAACAACTCTTTCCGATAGTATTTTGTTGCATACAGCAGATTCAACAATTTATTTGGTAATAGGGTTATAATTTTTAAAGCCAGAATTGTGCTTTGTGATTGACTGTGGATCGTGACCCGCCCTGCAGGCGATCCAGACTTGCACTGCCCAAGTGGCATCCACTAGCCTCAGGTGGCCACTGAGCGCCTGAAATGTCACTAGTCTGAACTGAGATGTGCTGTAAGTGGAAATATATACTGTATTTTATGAAAAATAAAATGCAATTCATTATAGAGATCTCTATAACTCAGTTTTTACAGTGGGATAATAGTTTTAAATTTTGGAATAAAGTACCTTAACTTGCAACTTGATGATGTTATAGCAAAGAAATAGTTCACTAATGTACAAAGTTCATTAATAAAAGTAATTAATAAATATTTAATAATAGTTTTATTTCCTAGGCCCTACCTGTAAGTTACTCATTTATATTTTGTTATCCTGTTTCTCACATTTCCCATGCCATAACTACTCATTTATTCCTTCTTTCAAGCAGTCATATACTAACTGCTTGTATCTTCACTGACTTAAAATCTGTCAAAAGTAACATGACTGCAGGAAAATTCTTGTCTGCTGTTTTGTTTCATAGGCCAAAGTGAGCCACGAATGAAACCTGACATATACCTTACCACCAAGCAAAGAGTAAAAATTGGTGTAAGGGACAGAGCTTGGGCTTTGGAATAAACAGACCTGGGTTCGCTGCCACCTATGGTGTGATCTTAAGCTCGAGACTAAGCCATGTAACATCTTCAAATCCCAGTTTATTCACCTGGCAGAAGGATCTATGCCATCTCTCAAGAGTACTGTTAGAAGCAATGAAACAATGTATGTAAAACATCTCTAACGTAGGTGATGCTCAATAAGACACGGCTACTAATGCTTTTATTATTCATGTATAATGCAGTCAACCTAAACGGTATCAGGAAATAAGAATGTGACAAAATAAATTGAGACCTTACTTTACTCGTTCACCAATTCAGACAATTTGTTAATAGCCTCAATTCTTTTATAGTAATATAACATAATATTATATTAACAAACATATATTGAGCCCTATACTCCAAGGGCTGTGTTAGACATTTACTTGCATTATTTTACTTAAAATAATGAGCAAAATTTGTGTATCCCCAGCTGCCACAGCATAACACTGTCTTTTCCTCTGACTGGATGTTTTGCTTGCATTTAAGAAATCTAAATTAATAAACTAATAAAATAATCTTTCAAGACCTGCTTTTTAAAACATTTTCTACAAATTCCTTTCACCTGTTACTCTCTACACCAGCCACTGCTTCCACTTACCCTCCCCTCTGACTCACCCACCTGTTCTTAAGGATTGGCTCCCACCTTGAGTAAAGTCCTAGGCATCATTGCCTTTTAATGAACTTTGTTTGCTGTGAATCTTCTGCCCTGGCTTCTGTCCCCTTAGTTATAGGACCCTGTTTGAGACTTTGAGTTTCCCAGAGGCGAGTATTCTGTAAAGGGCTTTCTGCTATGTTACAGTGATAGGAGTATAAGAAACAGAGCTTTGCACCTATGTATAAAGTCCATAAGATAGTCCTTTTGTCTCATAGAGTCCGGCCAGGAGAAGTCTGCAGTAATACTTTATATCAGTAAGCCTTAGGTTTAACCGAGAGTGGCAAAGTGCCAAAATAACAATGGCCTGCATAAGATGAAAGTGGTTTGATAAGCTGTCCAGAGCTGAAAGGCGGCTCTACCCTAAAGTCCTCAGGGACTCAGGCTCCTTCCATTTCAATGCTCCCCCACCCCCAGACTATGGCTGTTCTCATGGACTGGGACCTATCTGCATTGTAGGCAGCAAGATATGGGGGTGGGGGAAGAAGAAGGAAAGGGTAGGTGATTTTTCACGTCAAGGACCAGAACCTAGTCGCATGACAACACTTAGGTCCACCCCAACTGGAGAGCTGAAGGATCGTTTTAGTTACTGGAAAACTGATATAAAAGAACCAGTGTGTTTTACATACATTTCTCACCTGGTAAGTAAGCTGGTCCTTTATGCTATAACATCTCAAGACATTTCAGCATTTTCAAACATTTCCTGTAAGCTTTTTTTTTTTTTTTACAATTTTACAAGAGTTCATTTTTACGAGTAAATTTACACAGTTTGAGCCAAATTGGTGACATAGGCCAGGGAGCAGGAAAGATGGCAAACGCTCTCTTCTGTAAACTTCCAACACTCTCCACCAGGTGTCTCTAGCAGATTTGCACAGGCACAGGGAAACATTAAAGGCAAATTGTGGCAAAATTCTTGTCTTGACTAACTGCTTCCAATGGGTCACTTTAAAGCTATATCATCATGTTTTAAGTGCACCATTTTCCTTAAATAACTCATTCCTTTTATTGTGTTTTAAATTTTCATTACATGTGTTTTAACTGGAAAATATCGGAAAGTAAAAGGAAAATCCAACACTACTACTATTGATATTTTAGTCAGTTTCCCTAGAATTGTTTTCCTTCTAAGCATAAAAGAATGAAAATTCCAGCCACAGAGTGAGATAAAATATTTATCATGTAATCTAGCAAAGGACCTGTATCAGAAGATATAAAGGACTTCTACAAATCAACAAGAAAAGACAGAAAGCCCATTTTAAAAATGGCCACAGGAGTCTTTACAAAAGAGACTATCAAATTAAACACTGCTCAACATCACTAGTCATCAGGAAAATGCATTAAAACCACACAAGGATAATATTATACCCACCAGAATAGCTAAAACTCAATATCAAGTTTTTGTGAGAGTTTGAAGCAACTAAAAGTCTCTTACAATGCTGGTGGGAGTAAATTTATACAATTACTTTAGAAAATATGTGGTAATATTTAATAAAGCTGACCATATGTTTATTCTGTGACCCTTTTCTAGGTATATACCCAACAGAAATGCATGTACATGTACATCAAAAGACAGAACAAGAATATACACGGCAACGCTATTCATAATAGACAAACCCTAAAAATTAAGCAAAGGCTCAACGACAGTAGAGAGAGCAGGTATGTGATGGTACACCAAAATGGAATGAAACATCATGGATTGATCTCCGCACACAATGCTGAGTGAAAGAAGCCACACCCAACCCAGCATTCTAGTTTCCTGACTCTAGGCCTCCCCTTCCACATCCTTCCCGGAGGGAAAGCACTGGGGTCCTGTTCTCATCCTTGCCCTCTTCTTCCCTGCCCTCTCCCCATTTCCTGGCCTCTAACACCCTTTCACCTCTCAAATTTCCAACTCACCACTTTTGGGCAGACCTCTCCTTTCCTCTGACCTGCCCTTGCACGCACCTGACCAGTGTGCTTTGAGGTGCCTGCAGGAGTTTAAGAAAGCCTTGGCTGGGGTCGAGTCTTAGCTCTGCCACTGTGGGCAACTATGACTGTGAGTGGGGCACTACTCTCTGCTGCACTCTTTTTTTAAAAAAATATATCTTTATTGATTTCAGAGAGAGGAAAAGAGAGGGAGAGAGAGAGACAGAAACATCAATGATGAGAGAGTCATTGATCGGCTGCCTCCTGCACACCCCTGACTGGGGATCGAGCCCGCAACCCGGGCATGTGCCCTGACCTGTAATTGAACCCCAATCGCCTGGATCCTAGGTCGATGCTCAATTGCTGAGCCATGCCTGGCAGGGCTCTGCTGCACTCTCTTCATTGGCAGGAAGGCACAAGTTTCCTTCCAAGGCCAACATTGTATAACTGATTCCTAGCCAGGCCCTCATTTCGCTCACAACCCACTGGTAACTTTCTGCTGGCTCCTAGGCTTTAGCTTTGCATTCAAGGCCTTCTTCCTATCTCCCCACCCTCCCTAAGGACATGAAGAAAGAAAAGCAGGTGAAATTGTCAAAAATCTCTCCTTAGATTTTGAGACTCTTAGCAGAGCTACTTTTTGCTGGGTTTCTTGGCCTTCTACCCTGAGCACGTACAACTTAGGAATTGGAAAAGCCCTGAAGGGAAATTGCATGCAGAGCACCAGGCTCACTGCCCACACTCCTGTTTCTTTCTCCCCAGTCCAGTGGGACAGCTGCAAACTGCAGCTCTCTCTGTCTCACTGCAGGTCCCACAATGAGAATCTGAAAGTACCTTAAGCTTAGCAAAGATTTCTTAAACACTAATAATCATAAGGGAAAGACTGGAAATAACCTCAATGATAATCAATAGAAGAATGGTTAAACCCTGGCGGGGTGACTCGGTTGGTTGGAGCGTTGTCCCATACACCAAAAGGTTTCAGGTTCAGTCCCCAGTTGGGTGTGTACAGGAGGCAACCAATGGATCGCTCTCGCTCGCTCTCTCTCTCTCTCAAATCAGTAAAAACATATTCCCGGGTGAGGATTTTTAAAAAAGAATGGTTAAAATAAATGATAGTCTATATGTAATAGTACTTATGCAACCAATAAAAAAGGGAGAGTTAGGTCTAGATGCACTGTTATGAAAACATATACATGGTACATTATATTGGTATATGTGTTGCTAAGTGGAAAAAAACCCAAAAACAATTTATAGAACAATGATTCAGTTTGCAAATTTAAAAAAATATTTTTTAAAAGTCTGTAAGTATATACACCAAACTATTCATGGTAATTATGCCAAGGGGTATGATTACAAAAGAATCTTCATTTTCTGTATCACTGTAGATTGTTTTTAATATACAACAATTACTTTTATAACTAGGGAAACAGTGAAATAAAGTTGATACATTTCTTTAAGAAAAAAGTAACATTTGGGCTATAAGTTATATATATATATATATACACACACACACACACACACACACACACACACACACACACTCTCTGGAATGTTAGCTTGATGAGCCTAGGGACCTTTTTTTTTTTTTATTATGGGGCTATGTTCCCAGCACCTAGAACAGTGTAAGTAAGTGCTTAGTAAATATTGGTTTAAATGAATGACGTTCCCAAAAATATCTGACAAAATGTTAAGACACTGGAGCTAGTTTCATATATCTAGTTATCTCTGAAGGAGTATTATACCTGGTATTATAAAAAAAAAAATGTAAAGGGGATCACTTGAATATAGACATAGGCTTTTCCTCAAATAACACACATTCCTGAAATATGCTTTAAATGTATTTACTTCTCTGCTAAGACTGTAAGTTCCTTAATATCACAGCATGTTCCTTCTGTGCTCTGTATCACTACATTTCAGTAGAGATTGTACCAGGACTTTGAGCGCATAATAAATATTAACTGGATAATTGCTTGATTATTGATATTTCATTACTTATTTATTATCAATGATAAAAATAATGACCTAATATTTAAGGATGTAAACATTTTTCCTATTTTATTTTAGTAATATTAAATTTAGGTGCGTGAAAATAGACAGAATTATGGTTCCTTTTATATTTTCTATGTGTCGTGTCATAATATTTTTAATTTAGGATACACAGAATAATAGTGATACTGCAATCAAACTTTCAACAACAGCAACACAAAAACTTATGTTTACTCCATAGGGCTTTTTGCTTTAAAGAAAAACATTATTTATCACATAATATTTTAAAAGCAAAAGGATGAAAACACTTGACGTAAACAGGTTATAGAGAATCTGTCTAGCTCAAGAGACCTGAAGGATAACCAACAGCAAAAGATAGAACGATTTGAGAAAGAAAATAATGATAGTATTGAATTTCATGTCAAATAATAAAGTAATTATCCACAAACCAATACTGATATAAGTAAATGATTAAATAAGTAAATAAGTGGGGAAGAAGGGAAAACATTTCAGTAGAAGAGAATTGCAATTAATTACTGTAGAAGGCAGTCCTGGATTAGAAAGTCTTTGGTGGGAGACTGATGAGATCAAAATCCGGTGTTAGGTTCAGTTAGGGCATTGACAGCAATGCCAGTATCTTCCTTTTGATCACCGTACTGTGGTTGTGTAGGTTGTTAACATCAGAGGAAGTAGGGGGAGGGGGAGCTCTCTGTTCTATCTTCTCTGTGTGTAAGTATAAGATTATTTCAAAATAAAAGACGAAAGAAGACCGACAATACCAAGCGAAGGCAAGGATATGAATCAGGAGAACTGACAGTAGGCGTAGAAATTCTTGCAACCACTTTGGGAAATTGTTTAGTATTAATTAATAAAGGTGAAAACTTGTATATCCTACGATTTAGCAATTATGCTCCTAGGTATATACGACAGATATTCATGTATATGTGAGCCAAAGAATGTAAATAATCCAAATGTCCATC